TGATATAGGTAACTATAGGCCAATCTCAATTTTATCAGTGTTTTCAAAAGGCCTCGAAAAAATTCTACTTTCACGTATGGTACATTTCGCAGATAAACACGGTTTAATCTCTCCATCACAGTTTGGGTTTCGCAAACACCGTTCCACAGAATTGGCACTCCTGGAGCAAAAAGAATACATCTTGAAAAGCTTTGAAGAAAAAAAAATGACTCTTGGTATTTTTATTGATTTCAGCAAAGCATTCGATCACTTAAATCACAGTCTGCTACTAAAAAAATTACAAATGTATGGATTTCGTGGACATGCATCAACTCTCATAACATCTTATCTTGCACATCGTAAACAGTACGTTCATATAAATGGTTATTCATCTGACATTAAACCCATTCTATCTGGCGTTCCACAAGGAAGCATATTAGGTCCCTTCCTTTTTAATTTATATGTTAACGATATTGTCAATATTAATAAAAGTGTTAAATACGTAATTTACGCTGATGATACAAGTTTATTTTTTACCGGTAACTGCTGTCAGGAACTAGCAATAAAGGCAAATCAAACGTTGAAAGACCTCGCTACTTGGAGTCAATGTAATGCTTTAAGAATAAATGATAACAAAACAAAAGCAATTTTATTTCGCCCAAAAAGTAAGAATGATTATATAACTACTGATATTGTTTTAAATGGAACCAAAATAGAGATCGTATCTAGTTTTAAGACACTTGGCGTTATATTCACGGATCGAATGAGTTGGGATGAACACGTAAATTATATTTCGGTAAAATTGTCACGAGTCGCAGGCTTAATGTATCGTCATCGCCATATTCTGCCCACAAATGTAAAATTAATTATTTTTAATGCATTGTTTCTCTCCCACATTCATTATTCCTTCTTAGTCTGGGGTACTACTACGAATACAAATTTAAACAAAATACTTGTGATACAAAAGAAAATATTGCGAAGTATTTGTAACGTGTCATACGATCACCCTAGCGAACCTCTCTTTAAACGTTTAAATTTGATGCCTGTAAATAGATTATATAAATATCGTTAATGCATGACCTATAAATCCGAAGTACAAACAAATCTTCATGCGCTTAGTGAATTGGCGTCTCTCTCGCTAAGAGTAGCAACATATCCTACTCGAAACACGGAAATTTGGACGCTCCCTATTCGCAAAACTAACTACGGTGAACAAATGTTAAAGTATGCACTTCCTCGACTGCTTAATTTTCTTGTTACTCACAACATTGACCTTCCGACAACATCTGTAAAAAATCTCCGAGCATTTTTTTCTTTTCCAAATGTGATTGCTTAGTTGTCATGTTTCATAAACTAAATTTTTGCTGAATTGTATAATGCTTTGCTCGCATGTGCTTTGATTTTGTTTGCCTTTTATATATAGTCGCACCTTTTTTGTAATATTGTCCTGTTCTTATCTCTGAAATTGTTATCTTTTCTCTTGGTTTTCTTTTTGGATTACTTGTGCCACTGCTGCCATGTGTAAGGAGGGGGGGCCGAGGGCCCGTCAAGCTGCATGATGCAGCTTTTTTCCTCGGTCTCCCTCCGTCATTTGTGTTTTGACGGAAAATAAACATTATTATTATTATATTATTATTATTATTATTATTTTTTTCGACGGCGTGGTGTTAGCCGTGTCTGATTCGGAACGTAGACGTGATCGACTTTGTCTTCCGTTCCGAAACCCCGACTTCCAATCTCCTCTGTCGGTACATGTTCTCCAATTGTTGTCGCACCACTTGGTGCCCGAAGTGCATCACATCCATCGATGGAAGGGCAGCATGGTGCCGAGGGATATCCCCGGTGATCCAATGGTGAGGCCGGAGGTCCGGCACTGGAGGAAAACTGTCGGTCAGTTTGACTTCCCTCGTGGGTGGCAAAAGATGGTTTGCTGGGTGACAGTTGTAGCCTTCTGGGAACAAGTTGTTCAGCATCTTGTCGCACCCAGAACGAAGGCTGTCCCTGTGATCCGTTTCCCTGTCGTAATATGTTTTTTTTCTTTATTGGGACCACTTTTTTTCTTTTTGAATTATGCCGTGTTTTCTTGAAATGCTATACGGAAACGCATTTGCTCTGACAACCTATAGGCCGCGATAAACGCGGATCTATCGCTGGCGACGAAAGTAAACACCGAAGAACACCGAATCTGCGACAAAAGTAAATACCCGAGAAAAATTCGAACCCGACAAAACGCCAGCGAAGTTGAAGAAATATCAAACCTGAAAACATGGAATTTTACTAAAAGAGCCTGGGCCCTGCTACACTGCTCGATCTTTTTACGGTAGGTACGTGAGAGTTTTCGAAACTTTTCGGTATGGTTTCGAATGGGGATGATTCGATCTTCGTCTCGAACGGTACAATAAAAGGAAGCATTATTTTTGACTATTCGAGGTATTTTCACGCGTGTCCGTTATCTCCATTTAGTACACTTCTCCCCTCATGCCGTGGTGCATTTTAGAGAAGCGATATCCGCAAAGTGAGCTTCACGCAACCTCCGTTTTGTGCCGTCTGTCCGCGCTGCTCCTACGAAACGTAACATGCTTCATGTCCACCTGTTCCACATGACGATGAAGTACGTGAGCATGCTTCTCGCGTCGCGCGTAAAACTTCGGAAGCACTGAATATGCGCATGGGCGTACCAACCGGGGGGGCAAAGGGGACACTTGCCGCCCCCCCCCCCCCCCCCCCCCCCCCAGTCCTCAGGGTGGGGAGGTCAGGCATGTGTTTTAACTTTTGCCCCCTTTGAAACAGCCGCCACTAGGCAGGGTAAACACTGGCCGGCAGCGCCCAAGACACACCAAGGGCACCGGCAGTTGGGGGGGGGGGGGGGGGGGTTGTGGGAGGGTGTCTGGTTTGCCCCCCCACTCAAGAACAAGGTGGTACACCACTGGATATGCGATACTCTAGAGGCGAACCGTGATCCTCAGCATCTCGTTCCGCTACAGGGCAGCCGCGTGCTTCAAGGTTAAGCAGTTTTAGTGCACGCGACTTCGATGTCTAAACGAGCTTATGCATCACATCCATCGTGTTCGTTTTAAATGCGTTAACATTTTAAAAACAACAGCATTTTTTTTTTCAGATAGCCGTGAAGTATTTCATGGGTACCCTTATACGTTAATAGCTCACAAATTTGTCATCGAAGCGAGAGGACGACCTCTAAATTTTGTGATGTACACGTGTTCGAAATTGAAGCACATTTTACTTAAAAAGCCCGATCTTAACATCCCAGTGTTAGACTCTTTTTTCAACGAATGCAACTACTATAAATGCACAAATAATTAAACGAATTATGATCGGTTTCATAGTTAAATGGGTTGCACCACGTAAGTCGTGTATGTAATCAACATTTTACACATGTTTTAGTTTTATAACCGCGAACGCTGCTGACCCTACGCACTGTTAGTGCTCAGCAAATGTTCGTAGTTGTTTTATGCATGAGGTAATCGTTTATTCCGGCTAACCTTTGAAAAGTGGTTGAGCTACACGCTCAGTTTGCCGACAGTTCGTGCAAGCGCGTCCGGCCTGTTGTCGGAAACTGGTCCGCGCTCCCACTAGCGCTCTGTCGGTCGAGCACGTGGATGCAAGGATCGTTTAACTATGTAACCGAGTGACTATCGCAGGGGCGGATTTGGGGGGGGGGGGGGGGGGGGAGGAGCTCGACCGAAGATAAACTTTTTCTTCTTTAATAAAAGAAGTGATATATAGGGTGTCCGAAGTCACCAGGCTCGATCTAAAATGAACCGTAAAAATCGACGCCTGCACGTAGCAATCTAAACTTTTCGTCAAACGTGTATTCGTTTCTTTCTTTTTTTGTAAAATTACAAAGCATAGCTTCTGTGAAAAATAGGGCCAAGAAACTTGCCAGGGTCAACGGGGGGCGGCGACGCAGACGACCAAGTCGAGTGGTAGGGCGCATTTGGCGCTCGTATTGGTAGATGGCGTTACTTCCTAGTCGAGACTGCCCGCGACCACCGTGTATCTTTGGTTTACAAATAAATGCGCTCCATAAAATTAAAACCTAAAGTAAAAAAAAAAAAAACACGTTTGCATAACGACAGCGCTTTTGCTGGCAACCAATTTCGTCTGCGTGTCGTCTGCTTTCTTTTGCTGGTCGGCTACACCTTCGGACGATGGGCTTTATTCGGACGCTGCTTTCGACGCCATCTATCAATACGCGTGACACACTCCGCAACTCGACTCGGTCGTTTGCGTCGCCTGCTGCCGTTGACCCTGCCAAGTTATTTGGTCCTCGCTTTTCAAAAAGAAAGAGACCTATGCTTTGTAATTTTACAGGAAAAGACCGACCTGTGAAATACGCCTTTGACGAACAGTTTAGATTGGTACATGCAGAAGTCGATTGTTGCGGTTCATTTTAGATCGAGCCTGGTAACTTGGAACACCCTACACCACCCAAAAGTTTAGTTTTTGGTGACATAGCAAATATTAGGTCCACAAAATAGATCTGAGCAACGTTTCGGCCGTAACGTCATTTCTCAGCAGACTAGAACTACCCCCCTTCCCCCGCCCCCCTCAAGGCTGACCCATAAATCCACCCTTAACTATCGGCCATGTGCACGCTAACGCAAAACCACGAGAACACCCCATGACACGGGCCAAGAACGGCCAGGTAAAAATGCGCCTCCTCCGCCTCCTTAAGATTTCGTGCACATGCCAAGCGCACACGGACAGCCGACGTGACGTCAGGTGACGTCACGTTGGCTGTCCTCATTGTCCCCCTTCTCCCCAAACGGAAAGTTGCTCGGTTGGATTCACATATATATACGCGAGTACATCTCGAGATTTCATTTTGTGACAAACAATAACTTAGAGATACAACTAACTTAATGATCATAGTAATCCTCTTCTAGACTAATGTCATTTTTTTCACCCGAAAAATCAGTAATTGTTGCACAACGTTAGAGGTACGTGCAGATCATAGGCGCCTTGTTGTGGAAGGGGTCGAATTTACTGCAAGCAACAGTATCGCTTCTCGGCCTTTTGGCTAAGATCGTAAATAGTTTCTGTTCTTATCAGCTTAATATCTGATACGGACCTTATTGGTTCGAGATATTAAACTTATTTTTGAAAATGGCGTTTACTCGGAGCTTGCTTTGAGGACACCAGGGTTGGCCCGGTTTTGCACTACTTCCGGGACTGGCCTGTTCCCCCGTTGGGGGACAAATGAAATTTCAAAAATGAGATGTAGTATATTCACCTTCATCAGCGTTGTGGTCTATCCATGGCGTCTAAGCACTATGCTGCAAACTTCGACAAATTGCTTTCGCATTTATCAATTAAGTGAACTACTCTGCTGAAGATAAGCGTTCATGGAGAGGGAGGAGGCAGGCGGAATGCTGGAACGAGGGGGATGTTTCCTCCTCTCCAGCCTTCTTTTCCCTCGCACTGAACTCTACTATTTATTCCGTGCGACGCGACCGGCGCGCCGCCTAGCGGCCGTTTCCGAAAATAGGCGTGAAAATCCCAGCAAAACGAAACCACGCCGAGTACATTGGTGCACATCGTATGCGTTGTGTCTCGTGGGGACAAAGTTTCTTAATTTTTCAACTCGCCGATGTTTTGTGGGACGGTAAGAACGATGGACCCGAGCCGTACGACGCGGGAAATTTGGTCTCCCGATCATGCCTGCTACCACTGTGTCGGCACGGCTGACATATTCTACACTGCTGCTTTGCTCTCGGATTTTGCTTTTGTACCAGTGACACCTACAGATGTTAGCGCCGATAGGACGAACTGATATACCACCCCACACTCACGGAAATGCAGAGCCGATTTAGTTGGAGGAATGCCCTCCAAAGAAGTTTCGTCCCCATCGTAGGTGTCGAGAATATTTCCGGCCCAGCATGGCATGCAGTCTGCACTTCATGAAGAAGGATTCGGACGGCGCAAAAAGTAAGAAATATGAAAATAAGGAAAACTACAATGAAACTTGGAATCACTGGACAATCGACGCTTGAGTATGGCAGATTAGGTGGTTGTAGTATTTCAATTTTTTCATTTAAGTTTCACTCGCCACACTAACTAGGTGGCGCCAAGAACTGTTACAGCAAGCCCCGTAGCCAGGCGGCGCTACTGTTCACACATTGGGCCCGTGTGCCCAGGTGGATTTCCCCTAGGGCAGTTGGCCCCTGCGTTGTTTCCCCTGAATACAAGAATACGTGTTTGGACCTTGACGAGGCCGGAGCCACGTTGGGGCAAGGTAAAAAGTGGGGAGGATATAGGAAAGGAGGAGGCGGACAAAAGTGGAAAACAAGAAAAATACGCTGTCGAAAAAAAAAAAATGTTGGCTTGAAAAGCTTACATTGGAATCGCCAGAATTGTTTCGGATATACCAGGAACCGTCGAAGCCGCTGGCGCAGCGCTGGCATTCACTCTGCGTGATTGGCAGACGTCGGTGATAGCCGACGTATAAAGGCGATGAGCGTCGTGACGATGCACTTTTTATGCTGCCTTATTCGCTCCATCGGATCACAGCGCCGACTGCGGTAGGACTTGTGAAGCGGAGCATAGCCCACAATACCACAGTCACCCCCCCCCCCCCCCTAAAAAAAATGAAAAAGACCAAAACAAAACACCACCATAAGCTCTTTTTTGATGAAAACAGGAAGTGAGAACAAGGTTGAACCACAAACCGCCGTCTTTTTTTTTTCTTTTAATCCTCGGAAGGCGGCACTGTCGAATCTACATGGGCATAACACAGCCAGAAGAACACAACCAAGCGTCATTTAGGCAGAGTCCTGGCTCTTGGAAGAGTCCTGGCGCTTGGAAGAGTCTTGGCGCTCCCTGGGCAGGCTGATGGTCTTGATGAACTCCTCATAGTCGATGTGTCCCTCGCTGGTCACGTCGGCCTCCTTGATGAGCTCGTCGGCCTCCTCGTCGGTCATCCGCTCGCCCAGCGTGGTGACCACGTGCCGCAGTTCAGCCGTCGTGATGAAGCCGTGGCCTTCGCGGTCGAACACCCGGAACGCTTCCCGGAGGTCCGACGCCGGCTCGATGGGCCGCGTGTACGACGTCACCATGCCCATGAACTCGGGGAACTGGACCTGCAGCCACGGGGCGTCACGCGTACACCAACACACCAACGTCGCGGGACAGAAGCATAAAGGCCAATGAACATCTTAGGTTTTTTTAGACTGCAGCTCTTAGGCGCCCGTTTCCGAGTATAGGGTGTTTTCACTGACATAACTTTGGCCACCATATTGTTGTTGTGAGCTGTCAGGCGTGTTCCGAAGGCGAACATTCCAAGGGCTTACATGGCCACTCAAATGTGTAGACCACAGAAGCTTATAAGTCTTGCCACGCTGACATCTTCTCAACAAGTTGCGATGTAATCCTTCAAACTAGTGAATTTGTTTGAAAAACAAATTAAAAAATATGTCGGATTGACGTCATGTGGAAAAACCCTACAGCGGCGTCGCCGTCGGCGTAACCGCCCCGCTACATTTAGCGGGAAATTGAATTGGTGTTGAGGTCACTTGGCGTCAATTTTCCCGCTAAATCTAGCGGAGAAATTGAATTTGTTTATGGGTGACGTGACACGAAGTCATGTGACGTCATTTTCCGGCTAAATTTGGGAAAACTGAATCGGTGCTGAGGCCATGTGACGTAATTTTTTCCGCTAAAATTAGCGGGGAAACTGAATTGGTGCTGATGTCACGTGGCGTCAATTTCCCAGCTAAATTCAGCAGGAAAACTGTGGGAGGAGGGGAGGGTACGGAGGAGGAGGGGAGAAGGAGAGAAGGGAAGGAGCAGGAGGAGAAGGAAGAGGAGGATGAGAGATAAGGAGGAGCAGAGGAGGATGGGAGGAGGAGGAGAGGACGAGGACGGGATGAGGAGGGGAGGGGAAGAGGGGGAGGGTGCGGAGAATAAGGAGGGGCATACCCTCCCCTCCTCCTCCTCAAGAGCTGCGCACTAATTTCGCATTACGGACATTTGTAAGCGTCTTTCTTTTTTTTTTTTATGCACGGAATCCTTTCTAACGGAACTTCTTAATCCCAGAAAGGCGAAGCAACGTTTGTAGTTGCGCTTGTCAATACATGGTATAAGCATAAATAATAGTAAACAGTGCAAATAAACACAAGGACAAGAAGAAGGACACAGACACAGCGTTGACTTACGACATTCGTCTTCATTTCGTTCTACGAGTATATGCGTTAAAGGAAGCGCACAAACACAGGCATGACATATTTTTGTCTAGCCATCCATTGCAGGTACCATTGTCCTTCACACAAATTGGTCCAATCCTTTGATGAAGCCGAACTCACTGTTGAATATTGCGATGGACTCTGTACTTATGCACTGGTCTTGACCGTGCATAAGTGTAGCTGGTTGTAATACGCTTCGTGAAACTCTTTAGCCGTCTTTTGGTGATGCTTGCCAGAATTTCTGTTACCAAACTGGGGTGAACATCCACGTCGATCACATTGTACAGCTTAGTGTCCCGATGGTACAGCCGTTAAAGTCAAGGAGTGCTCCCTAGCTCTAACATTTATAAATCTCCCCGTCTGCCCTATATAATCCTTACCACAAGGCAGTGGTACTCGGTATTCTAGTACACCAACCGTGCGCATGCAACATGCTAAAACTTAAGTTTCCTCTCGCACAGAGTATGTGGACGTCCTAAGGGTCCAATAGAAGGCCCCAACCGAGGTGACTTCGAGGGAGCCGAAAAGACCACTGGTAAAGATCCTTCGGAGAAAAAAAGCGCCATCTGTCGTACGGAAGGGCAACCAGTGCCAGCCACCATGCTGCAGGGTAGTGGTGCGTCGTTGCATACGCTGCACAGGCCGTAGACGTTAGTCTGACTGCGTCAGTTCCATGGCCCGCGATGCCAACGTGCTTCTGCGTACCCTCTGTACAAGTCTGGCAATAAAGTACGTATATTCGTAAATGTACTCGTTACCGGTCGATGGGCGCCGGTCGAGAGGGGATATTCAGCGGCGTAGCAGCGCAGACGTTTGCCTGCTCAAGTGCAAGAACGGAACACGAGCCGTTCCCACCCAACGCTCCTTGGGTGTTTGAGTCCGGTGTTTTTAACCTCACTTTGTAGCGTTTGGAGGTGAAGTTTCCAAGTTTCAGCTTATTTGAAGAGATGAAAGCGTCAAATACAAATATAATGTTGCTCGTGGTACCGCTTGTTTACACGACAGCTTCGCGAGCGCGTTGCATCCCGTATCCGCGAGCTCGCTGTGCTTCCGACTTGCACGTGTAAATAATCTGTTAGGTAAGCACGAAGTCATGCGACCTCACGCTTTAACCCCCCGGAACGTGCACGCACCTGTACAGAGCAAACTTTTATGCAAAGCAACGTGCATGCGCTTGCAACTTCTTTTTCACTACAAACCTGCAGCTCTACGACTACAGGGTTTCAAAATAAAGTTTCGACCCTAAAATGCCAGGAAAAAGTCAGGATTTTTGATGATATTTATTTTTGATAAATATGATAATTTCGATCTGTTTTTTGCCGTTTTATATGAAGTAGTTTTTTGGTAAATAATTTGGGAATGTGTTTCTACAACGTGTTTTTTTGACGTGTTTCGAAAAAAAAATTTCTCACGGAAATCTTTTATTGCAAGTTTTAATATCCTGTGTACATGTCGTACATCTTTCATAAAATAAGTAGAAAAAAATATTATTACGCGCATGCTTCGGTGTGAAATTGACGGCTTTGCAAAGCACCATAGTGAAACCGTGGCAATCTCCACGCCTCGAGCTTCGATATTTTATATCTCAGGAAGACAATTAGCTACGGCCTTCGATTGCGCCTAAATGCACCTCCCAAGAACATGACTTTAACATAAATTTTTGACATACATATTGAAAAGAAATAAAGACCAGGACCATGAACGAACGAACTCAGGTTTACAGGCTGCTGAGACTGGCAGTCTCAAAGGCGTGAAATTTTATGTTGCAAAAAAAAATGTGGACGCCCCCCGTCGGCCCGCGCTCAGCAGCCGCGGACTGTGCTATGGCCTTGAGTGAATACTCCATTTAGCATGCAGACTCACCCTCCTCTCGGCGTCATCGGCACTGGGGTTCTTGATACTTTCCTTGAACTTGGCGTCGACGACCAGCCTGCCCACGGTGCGGATGATCTCGTCGATGTGCACGAAGGGCACCGTGCCCCGACGGTTCTTGTCGAACTTCGAGAAGACCTCTCGCAGCTGGGTGACCTCCCGCTCGCTCAGCTCCTCGTCCTTCTTGCACGACATGGCTGCCTTGCTCAGGGTGCGCCTTTCCCAAGCTTCTTCCTTCTTCTCTCTCTCGATGCGTTGCGCTTGTTCATTGATGATGATGGGTCTGCGAAATTAAGAAAGAAAAATAGAGATTACGGACTGTTTGGGGCCTCCGATGAGGGACAGTGCTGTTAAACTCGAGGTCCACTCATTTTGTCGCAAGACATTTCATCCCGGAACAGTTCATCCTCGACACTTCCACACATTTATTATTAACATAAGGCGGCCAACCAATCCCTAAATCAGGGGCTCAGCGTTTCGTAGCCTGTTCGGCTTCTTCTTTAGGTGTGACTATGGAGGAAAAACCCTTTCCTTCATAGTCGCCCCTGAAGAAGAGGTTGGTTTCGAAACATTGGGCCCCTGATTTAGGGAATGGTTGGTCGCCTTATTTTAACAATTATTCCCCCCAACCAGACAGACTTCTGTCTAATGTTTGCTTTCACTTTCAAACATACGTTTCATCTTCCCAAGACGCTTCATATCAGGGACATTCCATATCCGGATATTTAGTACCTTCCACAGGCTCAGATACTGCATAAGCTCTGCTGGCACAAAACATCGTGGTATAGAGCCCCTGCAGATAAAAGGTATTGGGACTAAGCGTATCGGAACAAAATGTCATTGGTACGAGTCGTACGGGATGAACTATGCTGGGGCGAAGTGACCTACGCGACGAACTGTGGCCGTCGCCGGACCGATCAGCCGCCTTTCTTTCATCCCCTGACTCCGCCCACAGCACGTGGGTATGGGCGGGAGCGTGATCACGTGACAAAAGGCGAAAGTTTGGCTGGTCCAACATGCACGCAGGGTTTACCACACTGTCAGCTTAGGGAGAAAGAGAGAGAGAGAGAAATACTGTATTTTAAAACAACTCTTAGTCCGAGTCATTGCTACCTACGGAGCCCGGCTGGACCCCTGGCTTTGGTGCTGGGTCCGGTTGACAGGATTCTCTCATGTGCTTGATGTGGGCCACCAGCAATGGCCACAGGGTCGGGCGGAGTTCCTGGGGTGGAAGGGTCCAGCTCTCCCAGGAATAAGGGATGGAAGGTGGGATGTGAGATCGGGTAAGAATGTGGGTGGAAGAGAGCCCAGTTAAAAATGTCCACTGCGTCCAATTGGTTTCCGACAATTGGAACCAATGGGAAAAATGTTTGTGATTTCGGACTCCTCATTGAAAAAATCTCTATTAGTTACGATTGTCGAAACCCAATTGAGCATTGCCAATTGGAACCAATTGAACACGACCAATTGGGAAAATCGTTTGTGATTTCGGACTGCTCATTTAAAAATCCCAGTTGGTTGCAACTTGTTGATACCCAATTGAGCATTGCCCATTGGAACCAATTGAGAAAACCGTCTGTGATAACTGGACAATGAAACACTAGTGGATGATTTTGACATTTTTATTGAAATAAACACTCATTCGGCCTCCTCTTGCTTGGCCGTCGTCCTGTTGTTCAGGCGTTGCCCAGCTGGTTCGTGTTATGTTTAGTTGTACGATCTAAATTCTTCCCTCTTTTGTTTGTTCCTTCTTTGCTGGCATCTGTGGCAGCGGCCCCCTTACACCCGCACCGCTACCGAACGGCACGCGCCAAGAGTGCACGCTGTGCTGCGCGCGCTCTGTCTGTCTGTTGGTTTGTTCGTTTCTTTTCTCTCTCTCTCTCTTTCTGCTCGAGAATTAAAACAGTTTTGCAATGTGACTCCGACTTGGCTGGTCGCTTTCTAGGCCGCCTCCACAGTTTTGGCAACGAAGATGCTGAACCTGGGCACTCTCACCCCCGGAGGAAAGGTGCGTCGTTCGGCGTAAGCTCACGTCGGCGGGGGTGCCTGGCGTCGCGACGACGCATGCTTCCGACGAATTCCAGGTTCACCAGGGAACCTCGGTTCCCTGGTGAGTTTTTCCTCTGTAGTTTTCTTAGGAGCCCCAATATAGGTTAAAATACTACATGGCCCATATAAGTCTTCATATTTAGCTTGCGATAAGAAACAATGCCGTTTTCCCTTACTAAAACATGCCTGTTTATTTATTTAGAAATCGAGTCTTCGATGCTGCAGCAAAAGGCGGCCAAAGCCGCCCGACAAGGCTTTGCAGGCGGCATTTTGGACTGGTCAGAAATATGGATCCACTAAAATTCTATATTGCCTGAAGGAAAGCATTCGTCTATATCTGCAGTACATCTATATTCGATGGGCAAATTCTGATATAAAATAATTAGGAGCATGTATTTTTACGTTGCAAAGGAAAGAACTGTGGCCATGTTGACTAAGTCCGATTCCATGCTTCACATACTCAATGACTAGCTGTTTCCTATCTGAGGCCTTCTCTGCTGTAAGGGGTTAAGAGAGTTAATATGCTGTAACTATACATATACTGCATAGTTGAAGCATTTACAACAAAGCTGCACATACTGCATAGTTACAGCGGTTTGAGAGACAAATGTCTGGTGTGTCCTCTATTTTAATAAAGTTCTCCAGCGAAAGCTTTAGCTCCCGCTCTAAAGCGACAGTCAGTCTTACAAAAACAAGTTTTCAATGCACTGAGTCTTTCCGCAATAAAAAAGGACAGTGTTTTTCTCACTTGAAAAATATACGGATCATGGCGCGCTCAAACTTCGCCAAATACGTAACCCTGGCATTTGGTGCAACACAGCGCCAAAGTTTTGGAACATAGAGTGATTTGATTCAAAACGTAGAAGAAATTTTCTGAAAATTTCAAGGACCAATGTGTTGCATTGACTCTTCCCTAAAACATGAACCGTTCATGTGGTAGAGACCCCAAAGCTTCAGGACCTGCTAGTGTTATTTTAGCGAATTTTGGAGACACTAAACCTCATTTCCTCATTTAAAATTTCCGAACAATCGCTTTATACGTGTTTAATCAGATAACTCTAAATGTGTGACAAGTCAGTGCTTTCACGAATCTATAAAATATTTCAAGATGCCTAAAACACTTTTTTTTTCTTTTTTCGCGCTGGCACCCGAATAAACTGCAGACTTTCCAACTGAGAGCACGGAAAATTATTTTCTGTAAAGTTTCATTCGTTCAGGCTTCTACCCTCTACTGACTATAAAGCTAAAGGTGTCTCGACATATTTATTAATCCGAAATCGCCGATTTTCAATGCAGCAAGCACCAAGAAAAGAAACAAAAAAGTGTCCTTACCTTGACCCGATAACCGTTTGCTATCTATCATTCGTGTACCAACGAAGTGGCAGGCCCAATGAACTAATGATCACCGCAATATTCAGCACTCGCAGCAATAAACCAACATAACTTTCTTGAATTAACCATGCCACACATGCCGACGTGCCATCAGTGCGATAGGTGCCATGTGCGCAGTCGCTCCTTCGCCGCCGCCACCTTGCCCAGTGTGTACAGACGCTTCCGACAATTTCGCCAATTTTAGCAAAACTTAAAGAAAAAAATTACACCGGGATGTTTAGAAAACAAAATCCTGGCATATTTAATTTACATGCGCAAGCGTCCCTCCCCTTGCGATTAAAAAATATTATGTGCAAGTGCTATTAATTTGGACATTCCATAATCGGGTTGAATTCCATTAAAATTATTTACCACTTGGAACTTATTTATTTCTATTGCTTTTTGGATTATTTTGGTACCTATTGATATTCTAATTCTACCCAATGGGTATTTTAACTGGGCCGCCAAAAACAAATATGTACAATGTTTTCTCCAGACGACTTTAATCAAAACATTACCCAATTTAAAGTAATCGCGCGTTTTACAAGCCTATTTTAATATGTAGTACTAAAAAGAAAGAAAAAAAGAAGGTGTAGGCACTTGAAATTACAAGTGGGACATCTGATCCAAAGTGGGACCATTTGAACTGGACCAAAGAGGGGCCAGTTGTATCGGTAAAGTTTGACCACTTAGAATAAAGTGGTACCACTTGCAAAACCACTTTAAATTTTGATTTGGGTTCAAATAACCAATGAAAGGGCAACTGAAGGCACATTGGTGTATCAGGCAGACTTGTACGTAACGCGTTACAAGTAATGGATTACTTGTAATCGATTACATTTAACTGTAATTTTGTAACGCTTTAATTACTTCCTTTAACGAGTAACGATCCTTGTAATTCGATTACTGTTTTGCGGTAATCGATTACAAAATTGCCCATCACGAGTTTTTTTTTTAATTCTTTTTTTTTTGGGGGGGGGGGGGGGTGGGGGGAGGGGAGGGGCTAAATGTGCTCGAGTCACTCAACTCTGGGCAACCTAAACTCTTTTTTTTTTTTTTTTTTTGAAATATTAAGCACGGGATTTCGAGGATTATTACGCCATTTTACTAAACTTCGTTTCCTGGGTACTTTTTTTTTTTTTGTACACCGGAGACTATGTTTGGGTATGAAAGATGGCCTTATTTTATTTTATTATTTTTTTATATTTTTCACGAGAGAGAGAGAGAGCGAGTAAACTTTATTGTAGAAATGGAGCTTTCCATATCCCAGCCCTAGTCCGGGCCTACACTGTTAGAAAAACTCCTGTCAAATAATGGGACACATACATGCTAACCTTGTTGCCACAACATGTACTGTATTACCGGACTAAAGAACATGTTCCATACTTCTTTAGTACGGGACATGTTGTTGCTATATGGGCAGCCACAACAAGTTCCATACACTATCATCACGGAACAAGTACTGTATGCTACAGGAAATGTACCATCGTGGCACACAGCAGCACATGTTCTGTTGCAAGCCATGCCAGACCATGTACCATTTTTACGAAGTACATTACATGTTCCAATGCGTCCAAAACGACACAGGTTAGATTTCTTGTACGTACGGAAAAAGTTCAGTCTTGTTTGTGATAGTACTCGCCCCATTTTATGTTACTGCCGCTATTCATGAGTACATACGGGCTTTGTATGTCACATGCCAAGCTCCTCCTTGAAAAAGTTGATATGCGACATGCAAAACAGGGATGTCCTGGCAGTTTGCAGGCGCAACTTGATGCACGTCTTTGCAACATAAAATTACCTGCAATGCGCAAATGTTCCCCAAACTTGTATGTATGGAAAATTTGAACTGTCGTATCTAATGCGAGCACTATCCTGAAAACAGAACAATGAATCTGTGACATATATACTCAATAGAACAGCCAGGAATGCCATGAGAAAGTGCTCACATGCTACGTCAAGTTTAGAGAGCATTGTAGATGTAGTGACGGGGATAAAGGCAGATAAACATTTGTAAAAAAATCGTTATCAAACTAAGTTCACGCTTGGTCCTTTTGGTTCCAACCCATAGCAACGGACCCATTGCAAAGAAGACTCAACAGTTTGCTGCTTCAAAAATATTTACATTTATTTTTCTTTTAAATGACTAGAGCAGATGCACAATAAAAAAAAAACACAGTTCATGCCGCAAGTATTTTGGGGGGCAGCTCAGCCATAAAAAAAATATCAAAGTGAGCAGTCTCCTAAAAAATTTGACCAACAATTATGCTAACATGCTACATCTCGAAAAGAACCACCTTGGCCTATACAACAAATTGTAATATTAACAATAGAAAAGAAAGATTAATCTAAACAAGCACCGAAGTTTCTTTCCACTTCTTTTGGAACTTCGAGAACTCTTGGAGGGCTCCCTGCGCCTTCAGATGCACCAGAGCAACTTTTCTTGACGACTGCCGGGACCCCTCCTGCGGGTTCAGTGCCACAAGACGCCTGAAAAAAAAGATAACATAAATAATGGGTGGGATTTCTTAGAGGAGGATGTATAACAGAAGCTAAGGAGTTCCTGGCTCCTTCTTGAAGTTCTCTATCGGTTAGTAATCCAATCTGAACAAATTCTAAACCTCGTCTATAGTATACTTTCAAGCCGAGACACGCCCTTAATTTGGACAGTCCGTGCAGACACCATGAGCCTCCAAGTCTTATCCTTGCATCAAGACGAATTGTGATTGTACACAAAAAAAAACAAAAAACGATTCAGCTTACCGGCATCAGTTCTCAGTAATAACTGGACACATTTCGGATCTTGTGTCAGCACACAACGCTAAAACATTCTACAACCCGAGACGGAGGCTACAAAGAAGAACGAACACATCCGTCTCAATTGAAACGTATGTCTTCGAAGCCTCCATCTCGGTTTGTAGAATGTCATATTAACCAGCTCGCCTGTCTAGTAAAGTTGTACCCAACGATACTTCGGTTAAAAAAAAGGAATTCACAGTATCAGTAAATGCAATATTACAAAAAAACTTGCCTGGAGTACTTAAGCAGAATATTCTGGTTATTATTAGAGGGAGGTTATCATTTGAGCCCATTCTCGTTTCGCCCTTCTCAC